ATGGAAGCATCCCGGTTTCCTTGAGGCAGTCTAACTTCAAAGTGTAAGCATTCACGCCTGGTACATGTGTGAACAGTGCGTGGGTGAACTTGGTGAAGAGCTCATGTTTCGTCAGCAAAGTCGCCTTCCACGCTGCATCCTGCCAAAAACCTGTGAATGGGCATGGCCCTGGAGGCGTCAAATTCTCACACCTGCAAAATCCACGCGGGTAGTTGCTCATAGCATACGGGAAACCAAATTCTTGACAGAAGAATTCGATGACACCTGCTATCACACAAACAACTGCTGTTGGAAGACGTGTCCCTGCCAGGAGCCGCCGCGGGTGGTCGATGGGCCAGTCATCACCATTTGGTTGTTTCTGGGGGTGATTGCCTTCGGCAAGAGCTGCAAACGACCATGCCAGCACGTGCCAGACGCGACCCCATGCGTCTCGTCCCGACTGGCCAGCTTTTGGCAGGGCCACCAGTGCAAGCTGGCTCTGGCCCACAGGCAGGTTGGTCAGGAACCCTCTCACGGGAATCATTGTGACACTGCCGAAATCGGTCATTGGCGCGCCATCGCCATGTAGTAGCAACGGCCTAGGATGCGACGCCTCGACCACCCCCGCTCCACGAGCAACTTCGCGAGCAAGTGTTCGGAAGTATGGGCTGCGCTTGTATTGGGGGCTGTTCTTCATATCCTGCCCATGCCAAAAATCACGGACGTCTCCCGCGCTGCCCAAGAGTTCGCCAACTTTGCCATGGTCCACCAAGCACGCTGCCCAATCATGTGGGCACAACATACGAACGGGCATCTCCTTCGCCACTGACTGCCCGTCGTCATTCTTGATTGCCAGGCAGGTTAACACTTGCGCTGGCCCTGGGGCGGATAGGTTGGAGAAGTACGCTCTGGCCAAGTCTCTGCGGCAGTTGCCTGGCGGTCGACCGAAGGCGCCGAGGGCCGCCAACGCCCTCGCATCTGGACTGTCGGCGCCACTGCCCATTGCTGCTTTTGCAATCTCCTGGACCTGCGTGGCCGACATGGGCCCCCACGCGAATGTCCTCATCAATCGCGCCCAGAGCGGCGAATGGTCGCCGCCGTCATCTACCGCGCCATGGCGCGAGGAAGTTGGATGGCCAGTCCGCGCCAGCCTCCTCGATTTATGCCCTCTTCTCGGGTCCACGTCGCGAACATGAAGGTTCGGTGGGGGGCCGATCGCCTGCAAGTCGCGACTGAATCAAGCCAAAACGGCCAAGGGCAAGAGAGAAGGGGGGATCGAGTGCATGCTCTTTTCTGCAACTTCATATTAGGCCGATGAAGGCTATGTATACCCCCCCCCCCCCCCCCCCCCCACCCTCCAAGCCTGATCCCTGCATGCGGGTGGCTGTCATGCTGGATGGCCCAAGCGCGCGCCCCCCCCCCTCCCCCCCCCCCCAGGAGCCAGGAGGCCCGCTGGGGGGGGGGGGGAGGGGGGGGAAAGGGGGGGGGGGCTGTGGAAGCACATTGAAGCCACCCGTGGGCTCCCCCCAAGAAGCACCAGGAGGCACTTGGAAGCGCCAGGAAGCACCGCGCGGCCACCCCTGGGAGGAGCTATGGCGATCGAGGGCCGAGGGGGCCGAATATCGATAAAGGAAGCCGAAGAGGGAAACCGAGGAGGAACGCAGTGAGAGGGGGGGAAGGCCGCGGGTTCCCTGGGGTTGCCTGGGGCGGTTCTAAGGGGCATTCATATTACTCGCCCTCGCCCTCGCAACCGCGGCTGGATTCCCCTTGAAGCTCTCGTCAAAACGCACGCCAGCACAGCCGCGGCGGAGAGAGTGCGGAGCACCGGACAAATGACCCCATCCTCCTCCTCCTCCTCCTCCTCCTCCTACTTTTCCCCATCCTCCTCCTTCCTCCTCCTCCTTCCCCCCCCCCCCCTTTTTTTTTTTTTTTTTTCTCGTGTGGGTTTGTGTTGCTCTGTTTTCCAAAGTCGCTGAATCGCGTCCGCCCCCCCCCCCCCCCCTTCCTCCCCTTCCTCGCCCCCCACCCCCCCCCCCCCCCTCGCACCCCTCCTCGGTGTTTTTATGGCATGCCACCCTTTACAGAAATTACAAGTTCCCTCACTGCTTCGCCCCCCGCCGTGGTTTTCTCATCGAGGGGGGGAACTCGCCCTCGCAATCAGGATTGCCGACGCCCTTAGCAGCGAGCGTAATCCAATCACCATCCTCAGTAGTCCCACCAGCCCTTTGGGCGTGAGTGGTTTAGCGAGCTCTCTCTCTGTTCTCACCCCCCTTCTTCCCCTTCGGGGAAGGGTTTACCCCTCCCCCCCCCCTCCCCCCGGGCCTGGAGAGGGCGTTTCGCGGGTGGTTGGAGGGGTCTTTTTCGACTCCTGGGAGGGCTAAAATTCGACGCCCCTCGCGAGGATTCTGGCCCCGACGGGGGGGGGGGGGAAATGCTCGCCCCATCTGCGATCGATCGCCCGACAGATGACCCCAAGATCCCTCCCAGACCCCTCCCAAAGAGCCCCAAGAGGCCCCAAGAGGCCTCCAAGAGGCATCCAAGATGCCCCCAAGAGGCCCCCAAGAGGCCCCAAGAGGCCCCCCCGAAGCACCCCAGACGCTCCTGGAAGCCCCTGGGGCCGCCAAGAGGCCCCCAAGACGCTCCAAACGGCCTCCAAGAGGCTCCCAAGAGGCCCGAAGAGGCTCTCCCAAGGCACCCAAGATGCTCCTAGAAGCCCCCGGGGCCGCCAAGAGGCCCCGAAGACGCCCCACAAGGGCTCCAAGAGGCTCCCAAAAGACATCTACTACTACTACTACTACTACTACTACTACTACTACTACTACTACTTTACTAATTACTCTAACTACGATACGCAACTACTAGACTACTACTAATACTACTACTACTACTACTTACTACTAGAACATAACTATACGACTACTACTAACTACACTACTACTACTACTACTAATACTAATACTACTACATCATCTACTACTACTAATACTACTACTACTACTACTACTACTAATACTAATACTACTACTACTACTACTACTACTACTACTAGCTACTAGCTACTACTACTACTACTACTACTACTACTACTACTACTGCTACTACTACTAGTACTACCACTACCACTGCTACTAGTACCACTGCTACTATTACTACTGGGACTACTACTACTGCTGCTATTAATACTAAGACTACTACTACTACTATTACTACTAGTCCTACCACTGCTACGTCCACGACAACTACCACTACTACTACTAAGACTACCATCACTACTACTAATACTACCTACTACTACTACTACTACTACTACTACTAATACTACTACTACTACTACTACTACTACTACTACTACTACTACTACTACTACTTCTTCTTCTTCAAAAACCCACCAGCCCTGTGGGCGTGAGTGGTTTAGCGAGCTCTTTCTGTTCTCAACCCCCATTCTTCCCCTTCGGGGAAGGGTTTGCCCCTCCCCCTACCCCCCCCCCCCTGGACCTGGAGAGGGGGTTTCGCGGGTGGCCAGAGGGTCTTTTTTCTACCCCTGGGAGGGCTAAAATTCGACACCCCTCACGAGGATCGTGGCCCCGACGGGGGCACTGACAAAAATGCTCGCCCCATCTGTGATCGATCGCCCCAAAGACTGCCCCAACAGGCCCCCAAGACGCCCCAAGAGGCGCCCAAGAGGGCCCCCGGACGCTCCCAAGAGGCTCAAAAGAAAGCCCAAGAGGCCCCTCTACGATCTCCAAGGAGGCCTCCACACTGCCTTGGATACGACTACTTGTACTACTATTACTACTACTACTACTACTACTACTACTACTACTACTACTACTACTACTACTACTACTACTACTACTACTACTACTACGACTATTACTACTACTATTCCCACCACTACTACTACTACTACTACTACTACTACTACTACTACTACTACTACTACTAGTACTACTAGTACTAGTACTAGTACTACTGCTACTACTACTACTACTACTACTACTACTACTACTACTACTACTACTACGACTACTACTACTACTACTACTACTACTACTACTAGTAGAAGAGACTACTACTACTACTCCTACTACGAGGGGACCGAACGACTCGCACCAGGACGAGGTGCCCGAACGCATCACACCACGAAGAGCCCGAACGACTCACACCAGGACGAGGGGCCCGAACGACTCACACCACGAAGAGCCCGAACGACTCACACCAGGAGAAGGGGCCCGAACGACTCACACCAGGACGAGGCGCCCGAACGACTCACACCACGAGGAGCCCGAACGACTCACACCAGGACGAGGGCCCCGAACGACTCACACCACGAGGAGCCCGAACGGGCCCGAACAACTCACACCACGAGGATGGGGCCCGAACGACTCACACCAGGACGAGGGGCCCGAACAACTCACACCACGAGAAGCCCGAACGACTCACACCAGGACGAAGAGCCCGAACGACTCAAACCACGAAGAGTCCGAGCGACTCACACCAGGAAGAAGGGCCCGAACGACTTACACCAGGACGAGAGGCCCGAACGACTCAAACCACGAGGAGCCCGAACGGCTCACACCAGGACGAGGGGCCCGAACGACTCACACCACGAGGAGCCCGAACGACTCACACCCGTCGTCGTCGTCGTCGTCGTCGTCGTCGTCGTCGTCGTCGCCGCCGCTCTCGTCGTCGTCGTCGTCGCGGTTGTGGTCGTCGTCGTCGTCGCGGTCGATATCGTCGTCGTCGTCGGGTGCGTCGTCGTTGTTAGGATCATCGCTGTGGTCGTCGTCTCCGCTAAATCCCTCTTGCCTCCCACCGCTTTCTCTCCCTCCTCCTCCGCCTCGTCCTTCTCCCGCTCCCACCACAAAGAGGATGTACAAGGAGGCGGGGGGAAGGAGGAACAGGGGAGATATGCGGGGGCAGGCGGAAACACGCCTGAAAAACACGACTGTCGGCATGCTTCGCAAGAGTTGCTGTTTTGAGATGGGCTGGTGGGGACACGCGAAGCGTGAAGAATTAGCTCACGGGTCCTCGCCGTCCTCTGCAATGCTGTCCATGTTCGGGTTCTTCTTGGCAGTGAACGTAACGCCCCCCTTCTTCAGGTCAGCTTTGAACTCCTCGACGTCGCACATGACGGCAATGCAGATCATCGGCATTTTCTTCACGGGCTCTTTATTAACTTCGGATGAAGGGCGGCACTTCTTGATATCCCCCAACACGTTGGTCATCTTCTTCGGGGGACTGCGCTGCTTCGCGACGTCGCCCTTGTGCGCAGGCGGGTCCCTCTGGAAGTACTTGATGTTCACTTGGTCCAAGAACGACTCGTCCTTTCCCATCGCCATCTTGAGATTGATGAGCCTCGCCTTCGCATCTTGATTTGCCACGCCGTAGATCTGAGACATCGCATCCCAATCGGCAGCTCCACCCTTGCCAGCCTGCGAAGCACTCTGCTTCGGCTGATGTGTAATCTTCTTGATGCCGAGCGTCTTCGCCAAGTCTGAGTCGAGATTGGCGGAGCCCTCCTGCCCCTCGTCAGAATCGTCGTCCTCGTCGCCAGGCTTGGCCATGTCGAAGTCATCCCCGTTGAGCAGGTAGGGGTTGGCCTTTCTGGAACTTCAATAACCCCTTGTCGTCCACTGGTTTCTTCGCGCCCGACTGCATCTTCAACTTCTTACCGAGCGCGGCTGTCACTGCCTTCGTATCCGTCACACTCTGGAACTCCCAGAAGCGAGTGCCCTTCGGATCGCGCCGAGCCCTGATGGTGCCACCCTTGACTCCCTCGGCCAGCTCGGTCTTCCTCCAGCGCCTCTCTGCCGTGGCGAGCGGCGCCCAATCCTCAGCCACTGTCCTGGACTTGTTGATGCTGATCTCCTGCATGCAGCTCATGCAGTGGCCGCCGCACTTGCCCTTGTCCAAGATCCACTTCTTGAGCAGCGTCTGCTTCTTCTCGTTTGCCCCGCTGCCCTTTGTTGAGCCCTTGCAATCTCTATCAGCACCTCCGCTCTGCCTGCTCCTCTCGAACATCTTCCACGCGCTCATCTGGGCGTTATGATCCAAACTCTTGAACTTCTCACCCGCCTCGCCCTCGGTCGCGGCACCGCCCGCGCCCGAGTGCGCGTGGCACTAGCTGCTCGTGCAACTTCAGATTGCCCTCCGTGAGCGCGGCGGGCGCCGCCGCCGACGGCCTCCGCAGAGTCGCCTTCGCCGCGGCAGGCTTACGGAGAGCTTTGACCATCGCGAGCGCAATCGAACACCAGGTGGGTCGCAGAGATATGGTTTGCGCCAAATGTACTACACCAGCCAGCATAAACGACTGATGTATTCACCTGAATTCACCTGAACACTTGTGAATTCACATATCTTCATGGGCCTCCATGGGGCCGTCTGTGAATGCTTGTTACTACTTGTGAAGGTTCAAGCGTTCAGGTGCATTCACCTGGATCTCTGTGAATCCAACAATGTGTCCATGCTTCCTCCTCCTCACCCCCCCCCCCCACCTCGCCGTTGCTTCGAACTCGGTTGGCACAGAGCCGCCTCCTCCTCATCCGCTCCTCTCCCGCCCCCCCCCCCCCTCCCACCGCCGAATCACGAGGCGCGAGGGGCCCCTTCTGGCGCACGAGGAGCTGCAGAGCGTGCCCCATGTCTCCACATGGCCCCTTATGGCCCCGTAGGTCCTAAGTGCCCCGGATGGTCCCTTGGGGCTTTCCAGGGCCGCCGTCGCCGTCGCCGTCGTCGCGACTACCAGATCGGAACAGACCAGACCTGCCCGACCATGCCAACGACCTACCAGACCAGACCAAACAGATTAGACTAACGAGACCAACCAGACCAGACAGACAAGACCAGTCAGACCAGACCAAACCTACCAACCAGACCAGACCAGACCAGACCAGACCAACCAGACCAGACTAACCAGACCAGACCAACCAGACCAGGCAGACCAACCCAACCAGACCAGACAAACCAGACAAAACCCAACCAGACCAAGCAGACCAGACCAGACCAGACCAAACATGTCAACATGCAGATATTGTTTTGCATGATACTCGGCCACGTTATGTTTTCTCGTGGCCCTAACAGCCCACACGGCCACGGGACAAAACGGTTGCTCTGGGGGCGGCGAGGGAACGAGTGAGACGAGGAGGAAGACGAGGCCGAGGGGGAAGCAACACGTCAACCTGCATATTTGTTTGCATGATACTCGGCCATGCTATGTTTCCCCGTGGCCCTAACAGTCCTTACGGCCACGGAAAAAAAACTGCTGCATTGGAGGGCGACGAGGGAACGAGTGAGACGACGAGGAAGACGAGGCCGAGGGGGAAGCAACACGTCAACATGCATAGTGCCACGGGGCGGCGGTTGGGGCGACAGCCTTGCTTCTGGTCTTGCTGCTAGTCTTAGTCCATGCCAGCCCAACCACATCAGACCAGACAAACCAGACCAGACCAACCAAGACCATGCCAAATCAGACCAGACCAACACCAATCAATCACATATCAAGTAATATATGCACTCCTGCATGGGGCGGCGGGCGGTGGGGGCGACAGCCCTACTGCATTGCTTGCCGATCGTCATATTCGTAGCTGCACGAGGGACACGGCCCCCGCTGGGCAAATTGGGCATGGGACAGGCGCCAAAAGCCCCCAGAACGCCCCGCGACGAATCATTAAAAGGCCTTCGCGGACCTTTCGCTCTTGGGGCCTTCTGGGGAAACTTTTTTTTCGGCGGGGCGGGGTGGCGGCCCAGCTCGCAGCCTCGCTGCTTGTCCTAGCCTTAGCTACAATCATACATGGGGGCGGTGGGGGCGACAGCCCTGCTCCTAGTTGTGCTGCTGGCCCCATCCACATATGCACTACCGCGCGGGGGTCGGCGGCGCGGTAACCCAACTCCCAAAAAGATAAGATGGGGATGTTGGGGGGTAGGAAACTCGGAATGGAGCGCGTGCATCCACGCCGCTCTCCGATCAGCCATTCATTACCACTCATTGTTTACTTAATGTGGGTTTCGTTTGTTTTTGCTTGTTTACTAGGTCAAACGACGCGGTCAACATCATATAATCAATAATTGCACGATCAAGTCTCGAACCGTCCAAGTGCGGTTCCAATTTGAGACGCACGGGCACCCTATACACTGCGAGTCGGCATCAGGTGCTTGCGTGGCCAACTCATTTACCGAGCATGAGTTCCTTGGCAGCAACCACGTCCTTGAGCTGCACGCCCTTCTTCAACATAGTCATGAGCTTCTCGGCGAGCTTCGCGTTCTCTTTTGACTTGTTGGATTTCTTGATCTGTAGCAGCTGGGAGCCGCCACTCTCACGCACCGCAACTGCATTGTTCTTGTAAAGCATAAGGTGCATGCGCGCGTTCTTGAATGTGGCATTGGGGTCCTTGGAGTCTCTGGCCTTGGACGTTGCCCTAGCTTTCGCCTTGGCAGTCGCCTTCGCCAACTTTTTCTCACCGCGAATTGCGCCAACTGCGACCTTGATGTCTTTCTTCCTCGCTGGCACTGGGCTCGTTCCGAGCGCTTCTTTGAGCAAGCTAGCTGGGTCGATGGGCTGTGAGGTAGCAGCAGAGGACTTCTTTGCCACGTACTTAAAACTATGCTCTGGCGCGCCCGACTTCTCGTCATCGAGGTCGCTGTCCTCGTAGTTGGGCGTCTTGGGTATGTCAAGGCCCATCAAGTCTGTCATTTTGAGATCGGTGTCAGGCGAGCACTCCCTCACGTGAAGACCCTTGCCCGTGCAACGTTTCAAGGGGGTCTGAAACTCAGACGCGCCGTCGGGGGTCGCGCCCATCAGCATGGCGCGAATCTCGTTGAGCGATATCCCTTGGAACTTGGTGCACTTGCCCATCGCCTCCCGCAGCCTTTTCTCGTCCTTGAGGCGCCTCGCGTGGTTGCATATCGTCATGGTCCGGTCAGAAATGTCCCCTGCCACGCAGCAGTGCTCGCATGCTGGGAATGAGTCCAGTACCTTGGGGAACTCACGAATAACTTGTCCAATGGCCGACTTGGGATCGCTGTATTTGAACGTAAGTGCATCTGAGACCCGATGCAGCATCGCTAGGAATTGTTTTGATGATGCCAAAGCAGGTCCAGTCACTGCATTTTGCTTCGGCATCTCTCTGTAAGGTCCAAAACCGAGGGCAGTCGAGCAACCGACTTTCGGGACCCAACTCTTGAACGCATCTGCCAAGTGCCCCTCGTGAACTTCTGGAACCTTGACCCTCCTAACAGCGCGCTTCAGCGAACCACTGCGGTCCACCATGTTGCGCAACTGGCGCGACCCAACCGGTCGAGAAAGCTGGCTGCGCACCAGAAAGGCAGCGAACGAATTAAGGACTAAAACGGTTGCGGTTCCTGCGGATATGTCGCAATCCTGGCTGGGGAGAAATTGCGACGGGAACGCGAATGTATATGGCGATGCCCCTTAGGGCCCCGTGGGTCCTCAGTGCCCCCGAGGGCCTCTTGGGCTTCCTGGGGCCACCGCCGCCGTCGCCGCTGTGCCAGCCAGACCTTAACAGACCAGGCCATGCCAACCAGACCAACCAGACCAGACCAACCAAACTCTTGCCATCGCTCGGACGTCCATTCCCTGTGCAAAGGTCCTGGGTCGGCACGGAAACGGAAAGAGCGCCTCGGGAAGTGGCCTGAGATGGTTCATGGCACCCTTCGCTCTGGGCAGCCCTGGTGCGAAAAGCTTGTTACGTCGCCGCTCCCCGTTGGGGGCCCTGGTGTTCAGGAGACTTTTACGTTGCCGCTTGCTCTTGGGAACCTTGGCGTGGGCTTCTTTGTACGTCGCTGCGCCCTGGGGAGCCATGGCGTCAAGAGCTCGTCACCCCCCAAGACGGTCAGTAGACCTGGGCCGACGCGAAAACGGAAAGAGCACGTCAACAACTTGACCGAAATTACTCACACCACCGTTCGTATTGGGAGCCTTGGCGTCGAGAGCTTGTTACGTCAACCCGCGCTCTTGGGAGCCTTGGTGTTCAGAGATTGTTGCGTTGCCGCCCGTTCCTGGGCCTTGGCTGGGCTTTGGTGCCAGGAACGTGTTATGCCATCGCTCCCTGCTGGGAACCTTGGTCTTATCAGCTTGTTTACGTCGCCGCTCGCTATTGGGGGCCTTGGTGTGATGAGCATTTTGCGTTACCGATCGCTCTGTGTTTGGCTTATTTGAACCGTCTTGGGGTCGTTTTGGGCCGTCCTGGAACCGTCTCGGGGCCGTCTTGGGGTGCCCTCGGACTCTCGGAGCTTCCAGAGCCAGTCTGGTGCCCTCTCGGAGGCTGTTGGCGCCTCTCGGAGCATCTCTTGGGCAGCCGTGGGACATGTTTTTGGGGTGCCCTGTGAACAAAACAAAAAAACTTGCTGGCCAACTTTCCTGCGCCGTTTTGGAGCCGTCTCGGAGCTCTCTCGGAGCCCCCTGGGCCAGTCTTGGGGCCCTATCGGGGCCTCTCGGGGCCTCTTCGGGCATCTGTTGGGCAGCAGTGGGAAGTGTTGTTTTGGGGGGCCCTCTCAACAAAAAAGCACTTGCTGGGCAACATTCCTGGACCATCTTGGGGCCGTCTTGGGGGTCTCTTGGAATTCTCCCGGGGCTCTCTTGGGCCGCCTTGGGGCTGTATTGGGCCGTTTCGGTGCCCTCTTGGGCCGTCTTGGGGCACTCTTGGGTACTTTTCGTTCGCTTCTGGGGGCCTCCTGGGTTTTCGTTGGGCGATATTTGGGGCCTCCTGGGTTGTTTTCGGTAGTTCATGGCCCGACGAAGCGACATTCTATATATATATATATATATATATATATATATAATATATATATACAATGAAAGTGTTGCCTCCTCGGGGCATCATGGGGGGCCTCTTGGAGGCCACCTGGGGCGTCTTCGGGGCTTCTTGGGCCGTCTTGGAGCCATCTTAGGGCGTCTTGGAGGCCTCTTGGGCCATCTCGGACACAACTTTGGCCGTTTCGGAGCGCTCTGGGACCGTCTTGGAGCTGGATTTTGCGCCTCTTGGGCAGTCTTGGGCGCCTGTTGGGCAGTCCTGGGCGCCTCTGGGGCCGCCCTGGGGAAGCGATGGCGCTGCGTCGGGGCGAAGCCC